GACTGTGCATTAAAGCAGCATTAGTTACATTCAATACTGAATAGCCACACTACTATAGGACTGTATCTATTCACAAAAATTGAAAGCCTAATAGTGGAGGGGAAAAATGTGCACTAAAGAGAAAAATCACTTTACATTTTAATTTAAAATGTTACATTACAGGATTTGAAATTGTGCGGTTACATAATGTACAAAGGTCAACAAATGCATTTGCTAAATGGTATTTTCTAATAGGAGCATAAGGGAACCTTTATTCCTGAAGTCTCAGAAGTCAATTTGTAGTCATACATATATGTACAACAGTAATACATCCATCAGGGGGAGCTCTGAACCACATTTATCTTAAACTTAAAACTAGGGATATTCATTTTGCACTTCTAAAATATGGAAATTTTTTTTTCCTTGCAAAAACATTTAGGTGATAAAATATTACACATCTGCAACATTTGTAAAAATATTAGTGCTTTAGTGCAATTTATATTTGCAAAGCGCCTTTCACATCCAGAGGACTTTACACAGCTGACCACACACTTCAGCTGGATGGGGGTGGGGGGTGGTTCAAAACGAGAAGACAAAGCAGCTAGCATTTAAATGGGAAGGCTGGAGAGGTGAAGGGACTCCAGGAATGGTGTTCCAGGAAGTGGGGCAGAAAAGTTGAAAGCTTACCCACCAACAATGGGGTAGACTGGGTGGAGGATGTGAAGCAGGTTGTGTTAGTTGAGCAGCAGGGTGATAAGAGCCACAGCAGGTCGCAGAACAGGCTGAGATTGTGGCACGATTGGAACATGAAAACAAGGATTTTGATTTTGATCGGGTAACTGTGAAGCCAGTGGAGCTGAACAAGTCAAAATTGTGGTTGTAGGTATGTGTTCAACAGTATCACATCCACTAGGGGGAGTTCTGTAAGGGATAGGCTCACAGAGCCTGATGTAGGATCCTAGAATCATACGGCACAGGAGGCCATTTGGCCCATCGTGTCTGTGTTGATTCTTTGAAAAAAGCTATCCAATTCAATCCCACTCCGCTGCTGTCTCCCCATAGCCCTGCAAACTTGTTCTCCCCAAATCTATATCTAGGATGTTATTGAATTGTCTTCCACTACCCTATCACGCAATGCATTCCAGATCCGAACAACTCGATGGATGAAAAAATCCCCTCCGTTTCTTTTAACGATTTTAAAATCGGTGTCATTCGGTTATCAACCCTCCCACCCGCCAGTAGAAATAATTTCTCCTTGTTCACCTTATCAAATCCCTTCATAATTTTGAAAACTAAGTCTCCACTCAACCTCCTCTGCTCCAAGAAGAATAATCCTAGCTTCCCTCATAACTGAAGTCCCTCATTCCTGGTACCATTCTGCTAAATCTCATTTGCACCCTCTCCAATGCCTTGACATCCTTCCTAAAGGGTGGTGAAAGACCCACGGTACTCTAGCTGAGGCCTAACCAGTGTTTTATAAAGATTCATCATAACTTCCTGAGTTTTACTCTATGCCCCTATTTATAAAGCCTATTATCCTGTAGGGTTCCTCAGTCTGTAAAGGTGAGGGAATATTCTGTATAAGGACTAAATGGGAAGAAGCAACTTTATTTGAAGTTTAATGTGTTATTGTGCTATGAGTTAAGAAGCTCAACTATATTCAGGAAAAGTTTGAAAGTTTTAAGTTTTCCCCAAACACTGCAGGGACAGGATGTACAGGATGGAAGTGTCAGAGCTCAATAGCTGCAGTTACCAATGTTTAAGCAAAATAATCTGGGGGGGGTGGTGATGTTCACCAATTGGAGTTATTTATTATAGCAAAGTGGTAATTTCTTTCACTTCTATTATCTACTGCTCTTGGTTCTCTTTTGAGTTTCAAAGCCTATAATATGGAAGACAGGATGATACTCATTTTAAGTGTTGTCTTTGAAATTCACATACAATTTTGAATTCTCTCTATCCTGTGTTAGGAGAGAAGGAAAGCAAAAAGTTAAAAATGCTGCATTTTCACCTCTTGTATATACTGATTCACTAACAGCTCTGTTGCTTTGCAAGCTTGGTTTATCCTTCAGATAGTGAGAGATACTGGACAAGAGAGACCAACAGATAGTGAGAGAGACTGGGCAAGACACACACTGATAGAGAATATATTATAAAGTGCAGTGACTGTTTTGTGGGAGACACAGAAAGACTGAGAGACAGAGAAACTGAGGGAGATAGAGGAGGAGGAGCCTGGGAGAGAGACTGAGGGAGACAGAGAGAAAATATATTAAAGGAGTTCTCCCAGCTGAGTATAAAGACGAAATGTCTGCCTGTCAATCTACATTCTATATTGGATGCTTTGATTGCAAGCGAAGCTAGTTATAACAAGTTTGCTATAAGACTGGTCTCCATTAAAGGCAATAACAACATAACATGTTAATTTCCAAGTCTAACATTAACCTCCCTGCTTGTTGGCCTCCCCAACTCCTCCATCTACAGGCTGCAGATCATCCAGAACTTTGCAGCCCGTGTCCTCTCCCGTCCCAGTCTCTGCAACCCTATCATCCCCATCCTCACCTGACTCCACTGGCTCCCCATCACTCAGAGGATATAGTTCAAGATCCTGGTCACCTTCAAAGCCCTCCAGTCTTGCTCCCCCCTACCAACCTGTCTACTCCCTTCTCTCAACAGGATCCGGCCTGCTTCACCCCCCCCCCGAACACCATTCCAGTCCTTCCAGCTGGCCCCTCCCTTGCCTCCTTCAAAACCAGTCTCACAACCCTTTGAATGTGCCTTTGGTCACTCTCCTACCCCTAGCGTGCCCCCTTCCTGATTCCAACCACCACCTCGGGTGCGGATCCGACTGTCCAGCGGCTTGGAACGTCCTGACGTGAAAGGTGCTATACAAATGTAATTTGATGTTGATGTTGGCTGTGAGGAATGACAGTTTAGATTTGCATATTTCCATTAAGACAACAGATTTAAGAAATGTTTAGAAGAAAAAGGTCACCTCACTCTTCAGTTGCCCCTTTTCTTCTCAAATATTTCTTAAATGGGATTCTTCCTACTTGATCTTGATAATCCTGAAAGCCAACAGCGTAGATGGACATCCCACAGCCATCTTATCAGTTCCCTTCAGCGTTAAAGCCATATGGATTTTGGCTGATTCAATTCCAGTAGAATCCAATTCTGGCTTGGTTTCTACGAACCCACCCCTGTGTTTTTTGAACATAGAAAAGGATATACCTTTTGCATTTCGTTCTAACTCCAATTTGCTACCAAAATATTTCTAAAACGATTTGCTGTAAGAAAAACAATTAAACTTTAATGCAGTAGTTTATTCAAAAAAACAGATTTGCCTTCAAGCCATAGTATACAAGTCACTGAAGACTAATCTAATTATTTATTACTGGATCCAAGATATCTAGGGACAAAATGCACATACAAAGACAAGCAGAAAGTATATGATACACAATTAAACACATTACACTTATAGAAAGGGTAAAGGTACATAACATTTACATTCAAAGTATAAAAGTTGCAAAAATTTGAGCACATCTATTATTAACATTTTAAATGTGCAAACTATTCACAGACAACAATAGAACAAATTTTCCACATTTTCAGCAGGGACAATAAGCTTAATTTTTTAAAAATAAACTTATACATGTACCTTACATTCAAATAATTTGTTTTGTACATTTGTTAAGGCTTGTTTTCCATTAATATGGAGGAGGGTAGGTTTTAAAGTTTACACTGCATTTCTAGCAAAAACATTTTACTTGTTTCGACTACTGAAAAGGGGGGGGGTCTAGGCAATTTATCCAAGTAGGTATATTGTACGATATAATATGAAGGAAGTACCGACCCTGCTTAAATCTGGGAAATGTGATCCCTAATCCAAGGTTAAAATTGGCATTGTCATTCAAGATTTTCTACACAGAAAGTTGATATCGCTTTCAGCGTCAAAGGAGTACTCGCAAGTCCAAGTTGGTACCAGACTACCAAACAAAAACCCGAATAGTTAAAATACACTTGAGGGAAAACCTCCAAGCAAGTAATATTTAAAGATTCAGATGCCAATATCTAGTTGATAGTATAGATTCACTTGGGCACCTGGAAACCATGCTATAAACTGAGGTGGAGAATACCAAGCCTACAGAGTGGTTTCCTATGACTCCATATTAGTTCTCAGGCTGATTTGAAGATGTGGCTCCCGCTGTTTCCTGTGGAGCAGCTCCATGTAAGTGATATCACCAGAGCAACCGAGTTGGGGAGGAGACCCTGAAAGATGGGCTCCATGCTGGTAAGCAAATTGGCATTTTTACAAAAATTTGAAAAATTCCAATCAGTATATTTTTTTCCATAAAATGGGGGAATACTTTGAACAAAAAGATACAACCTGAGATGGTTATGTATTTCAGCCAGCAGGAACCAGCAAGACATGATCTACAAACGGAAACCCACAATCTCTCTAAAGCAGTTAATGGCTAGATAAGTGGAGAATATCCCTTATCGTTTTCCTATACAGATGAAATAATTTCAATCAAAAATAAATTACAGAAAATATCGGAGAATGATATTTACTATACTCAATAAAAGTTGCTTGTAGCCCAGAGTTTCATTTGAGAGTATTGCCATTGCTGCCTTATGAGTAAATTAAAAAGACATCCAGTTTCACAATATTAAAAACAGGCCCATTAAATAACTGTGGCCCACAGTTCAATTACTTTGTTGTGAAACTACAAGACACTGCAAGAGAAGTATGTTAAAATGTTCGCTGGGTAGACTGAGTTTGAAGCGACAGTCTCCAAAAGATTTGAAAGTACAGCCTAATTAGGGCTAGAACAAGGATACCCCATTTTACAACAAAAATCAGCCCATCAATAAAAATGGCATGGATATAAATTACAGGATCTGAATCACGTGATTTGTAGTGAAATCTCAATACTTCCTCCTAAAGAGAATCTAATTGTTTTGGTAGACATTTTTAACAAATCATGAAATTCTACTACAATACGTGATATCTTCCACTAATGATAAAATGTGCATTTATTTGAATCTTTATTTAAATTATTCTGTTGGTAGACATGAATTTTAAAATAAAAATATTGCTTCGTCAGCAAATAGACAACCCTGCATATTGCTATTTGGAACTGCAAAATAGCAATTTGGAAGGGAGTGTTTATAATGGGTTCTTGATTGGTCTAGGAGTCATAAAAAACAAAATGTATAGTTGGATCCCTTATAATTTAGGTTCAGAACTGCAAAAATTCCCTTATTATACCCTCCTGTGAATTAGGGCATTGAATCAGTGTAATGTCACCTGTTATTAGCATTCTAGTTTTATTCAGATTACATTACATTAAAAAAACAATGGTAGACAGCAGTAAGGATGCAATTTAATCTAGTGGACAAATTGTCCTTTGGCTTTATGGCCAATCATCTGAACTTAAAATTACAGCCTTAAAGACTCATCCACCATCCATAAATCTGTACGTTAGAGATTGTGTGGTGCCTCCGAGCAATAAGAGGTGGGTCTATGGTACTTACTACGAAACGTGGCTGTAGATACAAGAGTGATTCAACTGGAATGTGACAAAGGAACACACAATTCAGTGCTTCCAGTAGGTAAACTGATTTAAGTGTTACATGATAAAAAGTGGTGCCTGACAAGACCAACGTAATAATGCTTCTCAATTTTTTGGATCAACAGTACAGATTAGTGAAAATCACATTTGAGACTTAAAGATCAAGTTGTTTCATCCTTACTGTAGCCAGGACCAGTTACTTCACTTCAGATGTAGGTGGTTTACCTCTTCTAGACTGTAAATCTGTGTACTCTTTTCTCCTAAAAGAATGCAATGTTTTTCAGCAAAAAATCGTATTCAAACAAATTGCATTTGTAATATTAATTAATAGAAGTGGCAGGTGAGCGCCGCAAATAAATGAATTGTCTTACATTTAAAAACAATTGTCAAACTCTGAATCAGTACTGCCTTTGCCACAATACGAAAAACGAGACTCCGCAGTAACTATTCAGAGTCCTGAAGCAATTCACTTATATTGCAGTTGTTGGGATTCACAAAAAGAGACATAGTGCAACTTCTAATCAGTGGTGACTGATATCATGAGCTTTTCCAGCAGTTTCTGGGGATGTCATTAATGTCAGGAAGTCCTCTCTGGATACTGCAGGGCCACGGTGTACCAGTGTGCTCAACTCAGTTTATTGAAGCCCAGTATAACTAGGTCACAATATAATTTCCAGGTTCATACCTTAGTGAATCCAATTGTCTACACTAATTGAACTGTCCCCATTTGGCAGATAAATGATCCCAACCACCAGCTCGGGTGTGGATCCCTGACTGTTCAGCGTCTTGGGACGTCCTCCTGACGTGAAAGGAGCTATACAAATGTAATTTGTTGTTGTCGTTGTTAGCACTGTCTGTGGGGGTGAGGGACGAAAGGAAAGAGAAGGCTGGCACTATCAAAGAGAGAGAAGCTATGTGAGGCAAGACAGGTTAAAATTGGACAATTGTTCCACACACTGCTGAATACAAGGCTTTGTTTCATCTGTTGCATTAAACTCAATTGGCTGGTCCTTTCGGCTAATATCAAGTGTAGTATCTGTTCTTGTCAATTACTCCTTGGGATATGTGCCTGCCAGAAAGATCTCTTTTTCAGATTTGCTTGCGTTTACATGTCTACAAACAAATCTTCCCATAAAGCTTTGTGGGAGGATTCAGCTCCTGGCATTGATATTGCAGTACTTCTGATCTGAGGAGAGGAAGCCGAGGAAAATGGAACTAGTTTGAGCACTTGATCACTAGGGTCAGGCCGGACTTGCCTGGTGGGAGAGGTGATTCGGTCACCTGTCTTGCTCGGGTGGTTATGAAGACAGGTTTCACGTCTGCATCATCCTTTGACGATATGGGATCCAAGAGTGTTTAGGGGGTGGATGAGTGCATTCCTTGTTCCCTGGAGGAATGCATTTTGGTCTTATTCAGGATGAGTAGGGCCTAATTTCGCTTAACAAAAATAATTAGCTTAGTTGGCAGTATCCTCACCTTGTTCAGAAGCTTGAGGGTTCAAAACCTCATAGTGAGACTTAAGCTCTTTATCTAGGAAGAAATTCTAGTATATTACTGGAGGAGTGCTGCATTAACACAAAACTCACACGTTTATTCTGGTCATTTATGTAAACTTTACAATGTAGTAGAATCCCATTATAACATGACATTGGGTTCATAAAATCCCAAGCAGCGTTATAATAGGGCATTACACATGCTCACAGAAAGCTGATTGGCGTCCACCACTAAAAATTGGCTCCACGTCTGAGTTCATCATCATCATCGTCAATTACTGCACATTGCCATGACTGGCAAGTCTCCACTTTTTAACGTGATAAGACAGACAGCTTTTGAAGCAACATAATTTGAAACAAGCTTGCTGGCTTTCTGCAGTCTTTTTGGTAACTAATTATCAGGGTTTACATTCCAATCTCACTGTAAAACAACCCATGTTAAAAACAGGGATCTACTGTATTTTGAAAAGCAGGAAATGCCCTCATGATAATCCTCCTCCATTCAAATTCCACAAAAAAGCTTGTTGGTCTTTCAATTAGTTTTTCTTTACAGGGCATAGATGTTTGGTGCATTTATAAACCTGCTAAAGATGAAAGTACCTCAAGTATAAGCAATGTAGACATTTCAAGATCCTCATCCTCACCTACAAGGCCATTCACGGCCTCGCTCCCTCCTACCTCTCCGACCTACTATCCCCCTACCTACCTTCCCGTACCCTCCGTTCCTCTGGCTCTGGTCTGCTCCACATCCCCCGCCCCAACTGCCCTACCATCGGTGGCCGGGCCTTCAGCCTCTCAGCCCCGAGGCTCTGGAACTCCATCCCCCAGTGCCTTCGCCTTGCTGCCTCCCTTTCCTCCTTCAAGGCCGGTCTCAAGACCTTTCTCTTTGACCGTGCCTTCAGCTCCCCTCTCGACTCTCTACCCCCCTCCTCGCTCCCTCCCCTCACCCTGACCATTTCCCCCCGCTCGGGTCCTGACCTAACTGTCCAGCGCCTTGGGACGTCCTCCCGACGTGAAAGGCGCTCTATAAATGCAATCTTGTTGTTGTTCAATGTGATCAAGCATTCTATCAAATATGATATTATAAGAGTTGCTCCTTCAACCACAACTATATCCATGTGAATAAGCTAGTTACTCAAAACAAACTTGTTTCAGGAAACTAAACCATACAGGTATTCAATGTGGTTTAACATTACAATCTGGAATGCACTGCCTGAAAGGGTGGTAGAAGCAGATTCAATAGTAACATTCAAAAGGGAATTGGATAGGTACTTGAAAAGTAAAAAAATTGCAGGGCTATGGGAAAAATGTGGAACTAACTTGGATAGCTCTTTCAAAGAGCCAGCACAGGCATGATGGGCCAAATGGCCTCCTTCAGTGCTGTAAGATTCTATGATACAATACCATTTACATAGAGCCTTTCAATCTGGAGGACGTCTAAAAGCATGTCAGTGATGGATGGTCAGCCAGGCTGGAGTGTGGGAGGCGAGAGAGGTGGAGTGGGGAAAATTACACAAATTTTAAAAAAAACACAGAATTACAGTACAGAAGCCCATTCAGCCAATAAAGTCTATGCTGGCGTTAGCTTTTCTATTGAAGCTTCTGAACATGAACAAGTAATTATTTAATTTCTCTCAAGTGTTGTTAGAACAAATACCTGTTGAAGTTTAATCTAAGACATTCCATGTTCTAAAAGTCCTCTGTGTAAATGTTTCTTCCAACCATCCTCTTCTAGTAATAATCCTTAATTTTACATCTACATTATTATTCAATTGCAGATTAGCGAAAATGATTTTTCTCCATTTGCCCTTTCAGAACTGTGAAAACATATTCCAACAACCTATCCCTGGAATTTCCATGTGTAGGTGGGTTGCATGGAAATCTCAGCTTGGTTTGGATACTCTTAAGCACAGTGATGGGTTTCTGCATGTGTCAAGACACTCAGCTGATCAAAAAAAACTTAAGATTTCACCACCTCCACCAACAACCAACTCTACCAGAAAAAAACTATGACCTCTCACCCCACCCTAGCACCCACTGCATCATTTCCAAGACTGTGATGTCCTTGCTCCTTCAAATTACAGATCATGGAAAGACCAAAAGTGTGGTCAACTCCAAGCTCCTCTTCTCCATCACCAACCGACTCCTCCACCCACCCTCTCATGCCTCACCCATCCTCTCCTTCAACGCCAATTGATGCTGGACTTCTTCAAAACCAAAGTCGAGGGGATCCACTCAGCTACCTCTGCCCTTCCGTCTACTAGCTCCTCGCCAACCACACCCCAGCCCCTACCCATCCCTCCGTCCACATCTTCGAACCCGTCTCGCCTTTCTCTCTCAGCACTACTATAGCCCACATGAAACTGACCACCTGCTCCCTCGACCACATCCCTACCCCTCTCCTGATCTCCCAGCTCCACCTCCTTGCCCCTCTACTCACATTTCAAAAACCTCTCCCTGTCCACTGGCACTGTTCTCACCCCTTTAAAAACATCCATCATCACTCCTATCCTTAAAAAAAAAACTCCCTGGACCCATCCCTGCATTCAAATTACCACTCCATCTTCAATCTCCCTTTCCAAGATCCCGGAACAAGTAGTTGCTTCCCAGCTTCGTTCTTTCCTCTCCCGCCACTCACTTCACGCACCGGACCAATCAGGTTTCCATGCCGCCCACAATACAGAAACAGCTTTGGTCAAAGTGACAAAAGACATTTTGTCCATCTGCAACCAGGGCTACCTCTGCCTCCTCGTCCTCCTTGACCTCTTTGCTGCCTTCGATACAGTTGACGGCTATCCTCCTCCACCGCCTTTTCTCTCACCTCAACCTTCATGGTTCTGACCTTGAATGTTTCAGATCCTACCTCTCACACCATCTTCACTTCATCTCCACAAACAGCTTCTCCTCTCGCCCCTGCACCATCTTGTGCGACATTCCTCAGGGCTGTCCTTGGTTCCCTCTTCAATATCTATATGCTCCCTATTGGTGACATCATCCGCAGACATGGGTTAACTTCTACATGTATGAGGACGACACCCAACTCTACCTCTCTGCCTCCACCCTGGACTCCAGGACCACTGCAGTCATGACAGAATGTCTTTCAGACATCAAGTTATATTTGCAAGATATCTGAATGAGAGCTACCTTTGTACAGTTGAACATCAACAAGTCCTAACCCTCATGATTGGCTGCCATCATCACCTCCACACATCAGGCACTGACAGCATCATCAACAAGGATGCACACTCCACCTCACTGAGCCATCCGGAACCTTGGTGTCTGGTTTGACCCTCAACTATCCTTTCAACCCCACATCCATGCCATGATCCACTTTGCCTTCCCCCACCTCCACAACATCACCTGGCTCCACCACTGTCTCACACTGCAGGCCGCCGAGACCCTCATGCACACATTCATAATATCCAGGCTTGACTACACAAACTCCCTGCTTATTGGCCTCTCCAACTGCTCCTTCCTTTGGCTGCAGATCATCCAGAACTCTGCAGCCTATGTCCTCTCCAGCACCAAGCTCCGTGACCCTATTACCCCCATCCTCACCCGATTCCACTGGCTTCCCATCACACAGAGGATACAGTTCAAGATCATGATCCTCACCTTCAAGCCCTCCATGGCCTTGCTCCCCCCTCAGCATCCTCCAACCTGCTTCACGTCCCCCACCCCACCATTGGTGGACCTTCAGCCACTTTGTCCCCACCGTCTGGAACTCCACCCCACAGTCCCTCCACCTCGCTCCCTCCTTTGCCCCCTTCAAAACCAGTCTCAAGACCCTCCTCTTCGACCATGCCTTTGATCACCCGCCTTCCCCGTCCTCCACGCTCCCCGATCCCAACCCCCAGCTCGGGTCGGAAACAATGGTTGTCCAGAACCTTGGGATGTCCACCTGACATGAAAGGCGCTATACAAATGTAATTTTGTTGTTGTCAAAGAGATATGTTTTGAGATGTGCCTTGAAAGAAGATGGGGAGTGAGTCAGAGGAACTCCAAGATGGAATTGCTGCCTCAAAAATAGCTTTCTCAGAAGCAAAGGAGACATTGAACAGGGAAGACATTTTACTTCCTCTACACAAGAGAACCATCTTTAAAATCAGTCGGGCACTGGACACTATTGATTCTATCGACTATGTACCAACATCTTTCCCCTTCCAATGAGGAATCAGGCAGCATTACGCACCTCCGGATTCCTCATTGGAAGGGGAGTCAGAATCTAGCATTCTCCATCAGGGTGGCCCAGCCCTTCCACCCACAGGGCCAGATGAATTGTTAATCAAAACTGACAAAAAAGTTGTCCATGCTCATCAGGCTTTAGGAAAAGCAAGAGCCGATCAGGAGAACGTATTGTACTACAAGTAGAACTGTTAGTTTAAACCTGCTGCACACTAAGTCTTATTAAGCTTTTGTAGTTACATTTTAAGATCTGATGAAAAATTGAAGGATTCCATATTCAGATTAAAAATATAACTTGTAAGCATCTCACTGTGAATATAACTCGCCTTTACATAATCAGCTGATGTGCGACGATGGGTTCTGTGCCTATTCACAGGCAAATACATCCATGACTGTGTCTGCACTCCACGATCAACATAACTCTGAAAAATAAACATTGAGCCTTAGGAATATAAGAATTTAAAAGGACTGACAAAGACCATTGCAGTCCATCTGGCCGATCCGAAAGAAAAAAAATGCTACTCTCTCTTTATCAGAGGAATTTGCAAATATTACGTCCCTTAAAATGTAGTTGAATCCAAAAGCACCAACAGCAACAAAAGTACAACAACAACAAAATTATATTTGCATAGCGTCTTTCATGTCGGGAGGACGTCCCAAGGCTCTGAACAGTCAGTTTTGGACTCGAGCTGGGGGTTGGAATCAGGGAGGGTGGAAGGTGACCGAAGGCATGGTCGAAGAGGATTTTGAAGGAGGCCAGGGAGGGATTGAGGTGGAGGGTCTGTGGGATGGAGTTACAGAGGGTGGGGTCAGAGTGGGGCGGGAGTGGAACATGAAGCAGTCTGCTGAGAGGAGGGAGTGGAAAGTTGGTAGGGGGTTAGGAGGTGGCAGAGGTAGGGGGCTGCAAGGCCATGGAAGGCTTTGAAGGTGAGGACCAGGATCTTGAACTGTATCCTGTGTGATGGAAAGCTAGTGGAGGCAGGCAAGGATAGGCGTGATTGGGTCATGGCACCTGGTGAGGGAGAGGACTTCTGGATGTGCATCTGGATGATCTGCAGCCTATGGAGGTAGGAGTTGGGGAGGCTGAGAAGTAGGGAGTTTGTAGTCGAGCCTGGATGTTATGAATCCATGTATGAGGGTGTGGTGTGAGACAGTGGCGGACCCGGGAAATGTTGCAGAAGTGGAGGAAGGCAAAGTAGGACATGGCACGGATGTGGGGTAGAAAGGATAGTTGAGGGTCAAAAGGACAAGAAGTTTGGACTGGCTCAGTAAGATGAAGTGTGCATCCTTGGATGGTGACGCTCTCAGCGCCTGAGGTGTGCAGGCCTGACTGGAGCCAATCAGGAAAGCTTCCGTCTTGTTGATATTCAACTGCAGAAAGTTATCTCTCATCCAGGACTTGATGTCTGATAGACATTCTGTCAGGATAGCAGTTGTCCTGGAGTTGAGGGTGGAGGCAGAGGGATAGAGTTGGGTGTCATCCACATACATGTGGAAAATGACCCCATGCCTGTAGATGATGTCACCAAGAGGAAGCATATAGATATTAAAAAGGAGGGGACCAAGGACAGAGCCCTGAGGAACTCCACTGAGTGTTGGAGACAATTGTTGATATTAACCAGAAAACACTACTACCCACCCTTTGCTTTCCTGCTTTCAAAATCTCACATGGCTCAGCACCTGTTGAAAGAACTGAAAGGCAATGCTTCTCAAAAATCTTTGCCCCCCACTCACCCACAATGAAACGGCACAATCTGAATCTTCCAATTATAGAGCAACATCTAAAAATGTATGTTTAATGTAGTCCTTTATAACGGTTATCACAATGCAGCACATAGAGGACAAGCACATATTTTTCCTCCCAAAAATGCAACAAATTTCAATACTATTCAGAACAAAGCTACATCAGAAACAAAATAGTTGAAACAACTGGTTATCTGCCAGGTGTGAATCACACAAGAAAGACTGAATGTTTCATCTAGAAAAATAGAACAAGTCAGTAAAATTAAGGAACAATAACCTGAAAAATAAAAATCTAGAAGGGAGGGAGAAAATTTCTCTCCCTCCCTTCTAGAAAAATTTTCTTCCCTTGGGAAGGGAGGAGAGAAAATTTCTCTCCTCCCTTTCCAAGTGATGAAAGTTGAACAGATAACAAAGTTTACTCTATACTGGTGTGAAGTTGTAAATATAATCAAACGATAAAGGAGCTTTATTACATTCAAACAATATTAAGCTTAAACCACAATTTTAAACAATCCAATAAAACAACAGCTCATTGATGTGTGCACCATAATATGGGGCATATTTAATTGAATAAAATGACTGCATATAGTTTCACATAAGACTTGCACAAATGTTCAGCATAAAAGACCATACAATTCACTGAGCCTGCTCCTCTGCTACCTATATTATCACCTTTCAGTTCAGTAGAATGTCACATAACCACATGTTGATTATCCACAGGTCAACTTATTGGGATCTGCTGTAGAAATAGAACTGCAATGCCAGCCAAAAAAAACAGGTGTGCATGATTCCCAAAGTACATGATTTACATGTGCAGCATGATCGAACCAGCAGTGTTAAGTACATTTGTTATAGGTACAATGTGGAGGTAGGGAGATAAAGAAAAAGGCAGAAGAAAAAGACAAAGTGGTGGCATATTGTAATACAATTCCTGATGGAAGACGTTATCATTGTAGCCAATTTCTATTTTGCAGGATGACCCATTATTCATAGTCTTCATATCCACAAAAGGTCCTACAACAACAACTTGCATTTATATAGCAACCTTCACCAGAGCAATGAACAGTGCACTTAAATGTGCCAAAACTTGACGCCAAACTGGGGAGAAGAGGGAGATGACCATAGGCACAGTCGAAGAGGTTGGTGTTCAGGTATAATCTGAAGGCAGGGAAGGAGACATGGCGGAGGGATTGATGAATAGAGACCCATTGGTTCAGGACCATAGTGGCTGAAGGCATGGCCATTGATGAGGTGGGGATGAGGGGCACTCAGCATTCCATTCCAACAATTTACCTACGGAATTTCCATGTGTAGCTGGGATTCAAGGAATTCTGTTTGGTTTGGATACTCTTAAACACGGTAATGTGTTTCTGCATGTAACAGACACCCGGCTGCCAAAAAAAAGGGACATGCAGGGGCTGGAGACAGCAGGGAGTGGGGTGTAAGCAGTCGGAGAGATAGGGAGATGCCAGGTAAATAGTTGATTTGCAAAGGAGTATGAGGATCTTGAAATCAATCCATTCTGTGGCATGGAGCCAGTGAAAAAGGGAGTAGTTTGGTGCGTTGAGGACGCGGGGGGCAGAGTTCTGAATTAGCTGGATTTTGAGAATGGTGGAGTTGGGGAGACCGGCGAGGAGGGCAAAAATCGTAAGCGGAGATGAAGTGATGGTGATAATTGGTAAAGTCACTACAAAGCCCACTTTCCAACTCTTTCCATACATCCTAATATTTTTACTGCTCAAGTGCTTATTCAGTTCCTATTTGAATGACTACTAATCCAGTCTCATCAGCCACTTATTACCTTTTCCACAGGATCTAAAGCTGAAGACGGAGCCTGCTGTGCTTCACATTCTCTTTGAACAACTACAGGTCCTGGATTGATCATTTCAGGGTATGGAAAATTCATATAGGTTGCTGAGGTAGTCTAATATTGAAAAGAAATGAAACAATCTTTTAGTTTCTTGCAACTAGTTTGCACTTTAATTTGAAGTATAGAAACATCTGTTTGTTTCTCATTTATTGAACCAACTATGAAAAAGGAGTAAATCTGCATTGTATTTACTGATGGAAGTTAAACACTCCCATTATTTAAAAGGAAGGTAAAAGAGTTGATCACCTTCTCCCAACCATAGCCAAAGCTTGTTTCAATGCTTTGACTGCCATGTTTTGTAAGGATAGCCAAACAATTCTGGGTACACTGCATCATAGAAGAGATTAATACTTCACTAGTTGATTTTTTTAAAAAAACATCCAATTTTTAAATTACAAGTTTGCTTTACAACCAACAACAAAAATTGCAAAACCAACTTTGATGAACAACTTCAGTCATCAAATTTGCTATGAAACATGTGTAAAGAACTTGTTGCACTGATGCATTTACTGTTGACAAGGAAGAAAAAGGAAAGAGAAAAAACTATATGGTACAATGGGATATGAACAAAAGGCAGAAATGAGATAAACAATCCAGCAAAAATGGCAAAAAGACTCAGCAATGGTCCTGTTGGATGCTTAGTGTATATTGACACCATTCAGGTTTACTCTCCATGGGTTTTGTTGTATTAGTCCAATTACCTTAATTGAAGTTGTATAATTACCTGAGGTATCATCCATCTCCACTGACTTCCTGGAGGCCATTGGGGTGGCACCTATAAATATCACAAATGTTAAAAAACACAAATGCAGATCATTAAGAAGATGAACATGGTCTTCATCTCTTCAGTGTTTTTAAAAAAATCTACAACTAAAGCAGTGAGGTCAATATGTCCCAATACTGCATTTAATCTCAGCATTCCAGGACACTACTAATAACAGACTAACCAGATTCATTGACAGGACTTGAAGGGTCAGACCTGTTACTGAGAATAGGGATTCTTGTCACTCAGCTCCTGCTCCAAGCCAAAAACATAACAAGTAGGTAGGTGGTCCTAGCTGGACAAGCAGCAGGAAGCTGATTAGACAGGGCTCTCGGTAAACCCTTTTTGTCTTATTTGTTGCTGCTTCATACTGGTTTGACATGGTGAGCAATGAGTTAACCATTCAATGCATATTAATCATTTTAAAGTATCAAGCCAACATTCATAGCACTGTTTATTAATTGCTAAAATTTACCTGGTAAGCATAAGCAGGATACTGATAACCCATTTGGACTTGTGGTACTGCTGCAGCTGGAGGGCTAGGGTATGAGTATGTCTACAGAAAAAAACTAGAATTAAAAGTTTCTACATACAAGGATGAAGCAATTTCAATAAAAGTGAAATCACAAGAAAAATCAAAATCCAAGGAAAACTGCATTAAGAATATAAGAAATGCTAGACAAAAAAAAGACCAAGGTCCACCTTCCTGACGGTCGTATGCACATATGTCCTGAACTACCTATGTACTATATCCCATATTAAGAACAAAAGAGATGCTAGACAAAAAAAACAAGGTCCATTTATGACTATTACTGCCATATCCAATTAATAACAGAATCATTTCCAGTTGGTTTAACAAACTTTAAACTTTCCTGAAAGAAAAGAACGACTGCTGAAATCCAACTGAATAGGGCAGGCTTTTCAAGTGGCACACCATCAAGTGGAAGATCAGTAAACCACTGCAATAGATCTAACTACTCATCGGTCATCATGTCTTCCTTTCTGTAATTCTGAATAACAATGCTGAGGGACAGAATGTCCCAAACAGGCATTCCTTAGAATTAACCAACTCAACAAAGATGATCCAAAGAAAGTTCAATTTTCAAGGAACAGAAATTAAAATGTAGGAAGTTAGTAAGAAGTGAAGTCAGTAGGAACATTTTCAGAAATTAAAGTGTAATAGACTTCTGAGCTGAAGATGATGGAATTTCTCTAGTGATTAAGAGCTAATAGTGAGAAGGCAAGCTGGTGTAGTTGAAATCTATCAAACTGCCACTTGTACTGAATGGCTTTTCCAAAAGTGGCAACCGAATCAATGATTTCAAAATGGCATAAGATTGTTTTCGCAGAGCATCTATTTCGAAATATGGTCATCATCCACGAAGCATCTGCTGCGTCCTTCTTTACCACCACATGATATCCAACTGAGCCAACTCCACTCCCATCAGTGCTAGATTTGTAATAAAATTGGCATAAATAAATCAATTAAATCCACTGTGTTATACAACACTACATTTGTATAGCACCTTTCATGTCGGGAAGACATCCTAAGGCACTGGACAGTGTTTCGGACATGAGCTGGGGGTCAGGGAGGGTGGAAGCAGGGAGATTGAAAGCACGGTCGAAGAGGAGGGTCTTGAGATGGGCCTTGAAGGGGGCAAGGGAGGGGGGCAAGGTGGAGGGACCGCCGGATGGAGTTCCAGAGGGTGGGGGCAGAGTGGCAGAAGGCCCGCCTGACAATAGTGGGGCGATTGAGGCAGGGGACGTGAAGCAGACCAGAGCCCACTGAGCGAAGGGAGCGAGCTGGATGGTAGGGGGCAAGGAGGTCACAGAGGTAGGGGGGAGCAAGACCATGGAGTGCTTTGAAGGTGAGGATCAGGATCTTGAACTGGATCCTGTGTGATGCGAAGCCAGTGGAGTCAGACGATGATGGGGTGATAGGGTTACGGAGCCTGGTCCAGGAGAGGTCGCGGGCTGTAGAGTTCTGGATGATCTGCACCTGTGGAGGGTGGAGTTGGGGAGGCTGACAAGCAATGAGTTTGCATAGTCAAGCCTCAATGTAATGAAAGCATGTATGAGAGTTTTGGCAGCCTGAGGCGCGAGACAGTGGCGGAGCCGAGCAATGTTGTGGAGGTGTGGGAAGGCAGAGCGGGTCATGGAGCAGACCATGGGTTAAACATAGGGTAGAAAGGAATAGTTAAGGGTCAAACAAGAGGCCAAGTTTCCGGAATGGCTTAGCAAGGTGGAGTATGCAACCATGGATGGTGATTCCGTCAGCGCTTGAGGTGAGGAGGTGCTGATGAGAGCTAATCAGGAAACCTCAGTCTTGTTGACTTTCAACTGAAGAAAGTTAACTCTCATCCAGGACTTGATGTCCGATAGACATTCTGTCAGGACAGCAGTGGTCCTGGAGTTCAAGGGTGGAGGCAGAGAGATAGAGTTGGGTGTCATCTGTATACATGTGGAAGTTGACCTCATGTCTGCAGATGATGTCACCAAGAGGGAGCATATAGATACTGAAGAGGAGTGGACTAAGGACAGAGCCCTGAGGATATAAGAGGAACTTCATGCAGAGGGTGGTGAGAATATGAAACGCACTGCTGGAAACTGGTTGAATCAAAAATGTATTTAAAAGAAAATCTGAGGGAGAAGGAAACAGAAGGCATAGAGCACAAAAGCAAGGAAGTTCTGCTATCCCTTTATAAGTTGTTGGTTAGGCCTCAGCTGGAGTACTGTGCCCAATTCTGGTCACCACACTTTAGGAAGGATATCAAGGCCTTGGAAAGGGTGCAGAGGAGATTTACCAGAATGGTACCAGGGATGAGGGACTTTAGTTATGTGGAGAGACTAGAGAAGCTGGGATTGTTCTCCTTAGAGCAGAGGAGATTTAGTAGGTGTTCAAAATTATGAGAAGTTTTGATAAGAGTAGATAGGGAGAAACTGTTTCCACTGGCAGGTGGTTCAGTACCCAGGGCACAGATTTAAGATAAGTAAAAGTAAAGTTATTGGCAAATTTTTTTTTATAAACAGTTGTTACGGTCTGGAATGTACTGCCTGAAGCGTGGTGGAAACAGATTCAGTAACTTTCAAAAGGGAATTATATAGGTACTTGAAAACAAAAAAATTGCAAGGATATGGGGAGAGAGCAGGGGAGTGGGACTGATTGGGTAGCTCTTCGAAAGAGCCGGGACAGGCACGATGGGCTGAATGGCCTCCTTCTGTGCTTTAATATTCTATGATTCTAAGGTTATAAGTGAAAGGTGGGGGGACATCATGTGAAATATAAACACTGGCGCAGACTAGTTAGGCCAAATAGCCCATTTCCATCCTGCACAACTGTAGTTAATATTCTGTATACTATCTGCTTTAGGGATTCTTCAGACAATCTGTTGAGGAAATCAGCCAAGTACTGGTAAAATCGAAGAAGGCTGTGTCACAATTAGGGTTCTACTATAAAGAGTCATTTGGTGTACCAGAATTGCATCCAGTGGGTTTCCCCAGTTCTGATAATGGACATCGAGTTGCAATATTTATACATTCTGATTAGTCATCACAAGTTGATTGTAGATATCTGCATCTTTCAAAGAAATTATGGTGCTAAAAATGTGTTAAAATTCTTTGCCAATGTAATGTTGGTGGTACATGAAGGACTTAAAAAAAAAAGTACTATACCATGGATGAAGAAATTCAAAATCAACTGAAGCAAAACACATTCGCAAGATGAAAATACTGTGCAAATAAAACTAGCATTTATTTTCATTTTACCTGTACATACGGCGAGGCAGATCCAGGAAATCCAGGTGACTGATAGCATGCATCCGTATTTTGGTACATGCAAGAGGTTGGTGATGCAATCAGGGGAGCTGGCCTGGCTTGAACTAACTGAATTGGATCTTGATAACAGAATAGAAGCAAAGATGACATTGCCTAAATATCTGCTTTTGGCTTTCATATTTTATTAAAGAATGAAATTCACCTATACACCTTAAAAAAAGTCAAGACATTTTAAACAAAATAAGATTTTGGATCACTGGTTTGTTACTGTGGGAGTTGATATCTTAAATACTCCATGCCTCATCCCTGGCCATACCTAGCATGAGATGTAAGAGATTTGTTGAAGGTACTTGCTCATTCACTGCCAGCTATCACTTATTTTCCATCCTAAAGGCAAATTAAATTCAACATTTCTCCAAGACTCAACCAGGGAAATTACATGAGTTGGAGGTTGGAAATGAGCAAGCAGTCACATAAAAAGTGACGGATGAGGCCTATGATTCTTCAAAATAAAAGATAATTTTGCCAAAGGCGATAATGCGATAAAACCACCACAAACTGTCAACATGCACTACCTACAAAAATTACCAATGTAAATCAAGGATGTCAAATGTGTATAGTGAAAGGGAATCTAAAAGACAAAGTTCGGCCTGAAAATGAATCAGAGCAGAGCTGGGAGGGAAGGTCACTTGATATACTGTGAGATTATATAAAGGGGCAATATTAGGTGATTTTTCTTCTTCCCATCCTTATGGGATGGAAGGAAATTCTGGCTTGTATTTGGAAGCTAATGGAAAGAAAGAAAACTTACATGAATCCTGCTGCTTCCTGATTGCTGGTCCAATCTTCAATTTCTTGCCTTTGAAGTTGATTTGGGACTGTAATTGAAACAAATCAAGCCCCTCTTACCCAAACACAATTTGTTAACAGCAAACAGCCATTTGTAATGGTAGACTTGAAAAGTGAAATAGATGGCGGACACCACTGAGTCACCAAATTCAAGTCAGAATCACATTGAAAAATGAGTATAGTATATAGTAGAGGACTTCTTAAAACTTCAATTGGCATAGTAGGCAACACAATGGTATTCTCTGACCCTGTACATTTCTTTGTACAGCAAACAATTGTTTACAAGCAGTCTTCTTCATCCTTAAAAAGGGAGAAAAGTCTAGGGATAAGGTACGTACCGTAGAATTCCCATTAAACATGGTATTTGTAGGTCCATAAAATACCAATCAGCTTTATAATGGGTTCTATCGATGGCCAGCACTTCCGCATCACGACATCACCAAGTAAGTGACTGGCACCGTCAATGTGCATGTATCCAAAAAGCCAGTTAGCTTTATAACATGCATCATGATTTAAATCACAACGTTGTGCTTTGTAATGCATCATCTCATGACTCAAAAGAAGTCATCTCGCAATGACTTATTTTGAAGTGCAACTTCACAATCTAAAACAAGTGATAATAATAATAATAATAATCCTTGCATTTGATATAGCGCTTTTCACGTCGAGAGGACGTCCCAAAGCGCTTCACAGAATAGACTGTAAAGTGAATTGACTGTATATTTGTGGGCGAACGCGGCAGCCAATTGCGCACAGCAATGTCCCACAAACAGTCGTAGATTGAAAAGTGATGGAGCAGATTGGATTTCTGCCCGCTTTTTGTATTTTGGCAAGTGCTGTAAATGTCAGAGCCTACACTCGACGTCACACTATTAGCAAACCAACATTATAATGGGGTTCCACTATGCTTTAATGTACCTTGCTACAGTAGAGAAATAAAATCTACAAATATACCCATCACCTATAAGCAGCGTTTCTCAAATTAGGCCATCATGACATGACCAATCAAGTGACTGGCAACATTAATGTGCATGTATCCAAAAAGCCAATTGGCTTATCAGCATGCATCACACTTTAAAATCACAATTTTGTGCTTTTATACACATGAGGTATGCAGTTGCTACCTCAGCTTTACGCCAGCTTTAGCATCAAAACAGTGCTGCTTCTTAAAAGCGATAGTCTCAACTGCTAAGCCGATCATAACTTTACCGACAATTCTGTTCCCTAATAATATTTATGCACATCTCAAATGTTTTTCGTATATTGTGCTTTTCTCATTACTGTCTGTGCAAGGTTTATTTGGGTCTGTCCAAATCCTAACCGAAAGGTTAGAAGAATTGTTGCGAGAATGATGACTTATACCAGGAGTTAAATCTACAGCACAGGATACCATTCAACCAATCGAATCAGCACCAGCTCAGAACAAGGAAATCAATTCAACCTGACCTCCCTGCCTCATCCCCAGATCCCTTTTCATATGCCTGTGTACTTCCCTCTTGAAACCTGGCAGATTGTCATATGAAAGTTGAGTATATTGTTGGAAAAATAATAAAAGAAAATGTTGATGCAATTTATTTATTCTCCTTCCTACAGAGATTTATTTAAAAATCACTAAATTCAGCAAGGAATTCCTGAATCTCCCTGAAATGGAATGCACTTATTGACAGTATAAATGGTGTTATGAGGCATCTTTTAATGGATGTTCCTCATCTTTTCTAAATGACAGTAATTCACTTTGAAAATACTCCCATAATCTGATTTTCTCCATCACCAAGATCAGGATAGAATAAGTTACTTAAAAAGCAAACTAGAACATGCTCTCTCTATAAATCATTAACTACTCAAAAGAAAATGCATATAAAAAATCACTTACTTCAGAAATAATCTTCTGAATGTCAACATCGTTATGGAATGACACAAAGCCATATCTGTTTTTGAAAATAAATAGGACACATAGACAAATATGACAACAAAATAAGCCTCAACAGATTCATCAGACATATTATGCTGAGCCAATTTTTTAAAAAGTTGAATTGTTTGCCTCATACAGGCAAACATGGTAGCCAATTTGCAAATTATAATGTCCCACAAATATTGCTATGAATTGAATGATCAGGTTTTTCTGGGGGTGTTGACTAGGACACACTTCTCTTTATGAGTCGTGCCATGGGATCTTTAACACCAACCTGAACAGATAGCTCAGACCTTAGTTTATCAACTTATTTGAAGGATGGTGCCTTACAAAATAGTACTGCCCCAGTGCTGCAATAGTATCAGCCTTGGACTATATTTAAATACCCACAAGGGGCTTAAATCCACAATTTTCTGACCCAGGTGCAAGAGTGCTATCAATTGGGCCAGACTAACACCTTGGAGCATTCTACACATGCTATTAGAGCCAACTCCAACCTAAAAGCTGAGAAGTGAAAGAGATACTTACCCCACACAATCTCTTTCCCATGACTCATGAGAACCCACAAGCCGTGGGTACATTATAGGGCAACCACATTATATAACCCTTTTGTCTGTCCCAGGAACTGGACGACCAATCTGAGGGTTCTCAATTACAATATTCCATTCCCAACTCCTATCGTTGATGAGTTTTAACCTAAACAAGCTCATTACACATCAAAGCGCTCTGAGATGCCACCCAGCATGGAGGGCACTATATAAATCCAAGTTGTTGTAATAGGACAGTTACACCTGGTGGCCGCACCGACTCCCAGTCTAAATACTCTAAATACGGTCTCACCAATGATTTATACACTGGCAGAATTACCCCGCTATTTCGGCTTGCTGTTGACCTTTCGATACATCCCAACATCTGGTTTGCTTTACTCACTGGCACAGAGCATTGTTGCGAGAGCTTCAATTTATTGTCAATCAGGACCTCCAGGTCCTTTTCCATACATATTTTTCCTTCCATTCAAATAATCTCTTCCAGGATTTTTTGTCCCCACGTGAAGAGCTTTTTCATTTCTCCACATTGAATTTCATCTGTTACCAATCTGCCCGATTCCCAAGTATGCTCAAATCTTCCTGTCACCTAGCTTGTTCAGTTTTCTCAATCTACCCCCTTGATTAGCTGGGTTTCATCTGCAAACTTAACCACTGTGCTTGCAACTCCTAGTTCCAAATCATTCATAAAAATATTAAACAAAAGAGGTCCCAAAACAAACTCTTGTGGAGCTCCATTGGTAACGTTTTCCATGTCTGTAACCACCACCTGTAACCACCACCTACTGGGTACTTCCGGTCAACCAGTTGTGTATCCACTGTAATATACCTCTACCAATTCCAGCTTTCTTTACTTGCAGCACCAGTCTGTCAAGAGCATCTATATCAAAGGCCTTACTGAAATCCAGTTATACAACATCCACCCTTGTCACACCATCAAAGAAAACCAGCAAATTAAATTGGCAAGACCTTCCCTTCATGAACCCATATTGGTATCCTTTATGATGTTATTTCTGTCCAGATGCTCCATGATTTCACCCTTAATAAGAGTCTCCATAATTTTACCCACAATGCACACCAAACTTACTGGTCTGTAGTTTCCTGGGTCACTTTTGTTATCTTTCTTAAAACTAGGAGTTACATTTGCCTTTCTCCAGTCCCCGGCACCTCTCCAGTATTCAGTGATTTTTTGAAAGAATTCCCTCCTCACTCTGCTGGGCTCGCTGCTTGAGTGAGGCTCTTGCAAATCTCCCGTATATAGGCCTCTGACACAACCAGTTTCAACCGGTCAGCAAATATTAACCAATCCCTAACACCTGGCCTGTGACTAATTGCCTATTTGACTTGCTTACCTGTTTGCTTGAAAAGTTCTCTCTTGCTCAAGAAAGAATTCCCACTCTTCCTAACATAAAGAGTTCTCTCTTGCTCAAGAATTCCCACTCTCACCAAATTCCTTAACAGAATTCTCACTCTGTTCCACCTCACTCAGTTCCCTCCTCACTCTGCTGGGCTCTCTGCTCGCCATAAACTAGTTACAAAAAGTATAGCATTTAGCAAACAATTTCTGAATATACTGTAGTTCCAAACAATTAAGCATAAAATGTATATGCCCAATACATTTGCTTACCCTCTGGAAACACCACCTCCATCACTGATTATTTTAACTTGCTTCACAGCACCATATCTTGCAAAGAAACCCCGCATTTCATCTTCACTCATCTATAATAGGAAAGATCAGAAACATATTTGGCATTTAAAACTATAAATACAACTCAATTTGTTCCATAATGCAACATTATACAATTTTTAGCCTTTTGTTTTCATGAAAGAAAGCTAAATAAAGACTTCAAGACAATGCTCTGAAGACAGTGTCTCCAAATCCAAATGAAATGGTTGGGTTTCAACCCATTGTAATATACTTTCACCAATTCTGATGATGGGTTTCAAACCTCATGCATCCATGGAGATTGTATTTAACTAGGCAATTTTCTCCCCAACAGAAAATATGTTTGATATAGTGCCTTTCATATCAGAAGAATGTCTCAAAGAATTTCACAAAGTATAGTGTCAGTCTTGCTCAGCCGGTACTATTGCACCTCTGAATTAGATTGTGGGTTCAAGCCCACTATTGGTACTTAGCATACAGTCTATGCTGACACTCCAGTGCAGTGCTTGGGGTGTGCTGCATTGTCAGAGGTGCTGTCCTTTGGATGACAATTTAAACCAAAGTTTCATCTGCCTGTCTAGTAGACATTAAAAACCCTATGAAACTATCTGAAAACAGAAGGGAGTTTCTCGCTGTGTCCTGGCCAACAATCCTACAAATAAAATTGGTCACTCACTCCAAGTCTGTTTGTGGGCCATTACTATTTGCAAATTGGTTGCTGCATTTCACCTACAAAATACAGTCATACCACTTTATAGTATATCCTGTAAAGCACTTTGAGACATCTCCATGATGTGATAAGGCACTACATCAAAAGGAACATTTTTTAAAAATATACTACACTGTAAAGTGGATTGACTGTTTTGTAAGCTAATATTGAATTTTACACATTTTTCTTTAAGGAAAATCTATCTCCCTCTTCTATCCAATTATAGCATTTAAAAATAAGAAAAATTGAATAGTTGACCACCACTATATGGAAAAATACAGAATGGTCTAGATTTCCTGTACGTTTTAAAGCATCTGCAAATTGTTAGTCTTAATTTTGAAGTCAGTTTTCTGTAAGCTTCTAAAGAACTACAGAAAATCAACTTCATAGTTCAGAATGAATTCATCAATTTGCTAATTTTGGACATCTAAAATGCTACATAAATGTAGTGAAATAGATTCAGGAAGTTTCAGGCGCATTGATTAGACAAAACTGTCTCCTGAGCAGCTAAAGGCTGACTAAGCTTAAGAAAATCAGCAAAACCTATTGCAAAGCAGGCTTCTTAATGACGTTTTCAAACTTGTAAATCTATGATACAGGAAGAAAAGAAAATACTGTGAAAATGCTACAAGCAGTCAATGGTTCAAGGTTTAATTCCAAGGTATTTTGCTTTTAAAGAACCAATGCCAGTGCACTGTTGTAAATGATGAATATCCATAGCTGCAGCAACTCCCACTAAAACTACACAATACTCAGTTCTGGAGAAGGCAATATTCTCAATTATTTTCTATATTCTAGTGTAAGGACGTATATTTTGGGCAATTCTCAAAATGCAGTATTCCTGATTAGAATGGAACCAAGCTGTCAAAAAGAAGCAATTCTCTTCACATTACTATATAAAGATCTCATCCACCTCCATCAAAACACCATTGGCAGAAATCCGAGAGCTGCTTGTCGAAAACAACCCTCTTAGTGACAGAATAATAACTTGACAGAATTTGAATAAAGCACAAAACAATTATTTTAAAAAGGAGAATATCACTGTCTGTTCGGGTGGACGTTAAAGATCCCATGAGACTATTCAAGTTTCTCCTGGTGTCCTGGTCAACAAATCCCCAAAATAGATTTCAAGCCCGATTGTGGGACATTGCTGTGTGCAAACTGGCTGCCTCATTATTCCCTCAGAATACAGACAATCAGCTTTACAGCATATTTATCTGGTGAATTGCTTTGAGACGTCTCAATACCATGATAAGGCACAGCATCAAATGCGAGGAAAATTATTACTGTGCTATTATTACTCAGTGCAGGCTTATTTTGGTTGCTTCATAGTTGCAATCATACTTCAATGTATCAATTTGTGAATGCAGCGCGACATAGATAGGTTAGGTGATTGGGCAGGTAGGTGGCAGATAACGTATAATGTAGGGAAGTGCGAAGTCATCCACCTCGGTAGCAAAAACAGTTGAGCGGATTATTTTTTAGAAGGGGAGAGATTGGAATGTGTTAGCGTCCAGAGGGACTTGGGTGTCCTTGTACGAGAATCACAGAAAGTTAGTCTGCAGGTGCAGCAGCAATTAGGAAGGCGAACGGTATGTTAGCATTCATTATGAAAGGATTAGAGTATAAGAGTAGGGAAGTCTTGCTGCAACTGTATAGGGCCCTGGTGAGACCACACCTGCAATACTGTGTGCAGTTTTGGTCTCCTTATTTAAGGAAGGGTGTACTTGCCTTGGAGGGGGTGCAGCGTAGATTTACTAGGTTAGTACCAGGGATGAAGGGGTTGAGTTATGAGGATAGGCTGACCTAGAATATAGAAGAATTAGAGGGGATCTTCTGGAAACCTATAAGATCATCAAAGGGCGTGATAGAGTGGATAGTGGGAGATTGTTTCCGCTGGTTGGAGAAACTAAAACCAGGGGTCACAACCTTAAAATCAGAGACCAGCCCTTTCTCACTGAGTTGAGGAAGAACTTCTTCACTCAAAGGGTGGTGAATGTATGGAACTCACTACCCCAAAGGGCTGTTGATGCTCAGTCCTTGAACATATTCACGACTGAAATTGATAGATTTCTTATTGCAAAAGTGATTAAGGGATATGGGGATAAGGCAGGTCAGGTTATTAGCTGGAGTTAGATTGGAAGATCAGCCATGATTGAATGGCGGGGCAGGCTCGAAGGCTTGAATGGCCTACTCCTGCTCCTACATGTTATGTTATATACTCATTAGTGGCTATTGCAATATAGAGATGTTAATAATGTGAATGTGTAAGATTCTCTGCTCCAACCCCACTCCACTCCCAAAGTTAATTCCTGCCAAACCAATTAGCACTGATCAGGGCTTTCATTTAAAAAAATTAGTAGTCACGATCCTATGAAGCAACAGTTGAATGCCATGAGATGAAAGCTAAGCATCTACCTTCAGACAGCAGCATTAAGAATGATGTAGGAAGTGGAGAGAAGGGTTCCACCAGTTTGATTCTTAAGCAATTTTTAAATTTACAATAGCATTAGTCAAACAAACCAGCTGAGGGTTAAAAGATCTAAAGTGTCCTCAAAAATACTACTTTAGTCCAATATTATTTGGCAAGACTTTTCAATTTTAGTGTTTTACAGGTGCACAAATAACCACTAAAAACACATAATGGTATAATTGGGGTCCATAAAATACTATTCTACATTATAATTGGTCACTTTATAGCTGTTCAGCACTTCTGGGGTTGCTGACTTCACTGAGCATGTGGAATGATGCTAGCCACAGAGCAGCAGCAGTTGATGTCAGGAAGCTCTCTGTGCCTGTACATCATGCAGAGAAAACAGGCCAGGCAGATAAGAAAGTAATGCACTTTGATATTTTGCTGTCCATTGTGTGCCTACATTGCATCTAAACCTGCAGCGTAGTAATACCTGGGTCAAACTGAAGTGAATTTCAGAATTTAGAATATACTGCAAACCCATTTACTTTGGCACCTACTACCCCCCACCCCTCCCCCATGGAGCAGGCCTATGCTCTTACTTTGTGACACTATTATTGTGGCGCTATATCTTTAGGCAATCACTGAGGGTTGTCTTCTCTATCACATCAAAAGCAAGTGATTTTTTTTATTTTTCAAACATCATTTAATTTGCACAATGGGCCACCAAAAAAAATCAATTTTACAGTATACATTTCCATTTAATATACTGAATGATAAAAATTACCACCAGGCAGAAAAAAATCATTATATAATTATTATCATTGAATAAGATATATCCTACCTCAAAATCAATTCCACCAACAAAAATAGTGTTTGGCATGATTCTTCCACTTGGTAAAACATATCTTCGATTCATTGAGGGTGCTGCAGAGGACTGGTTCTCCAGTTCTTGACCAGCATCACCATCTTGTGCTTCATTAATTCTCCCGGACTGGAAGATAAAAGATTTAGGAATATGAGGAAGAAATCTCCACTAACTCAGGCTGCTATAAATTTAGGTTTTACCTTGGGGATTTAAACATGGAGAAATCGTTGATAGCAAAAAGTTAAATTGACGCAAAAATCTGTGAACTAGGATGATTTCCAGATATCAGCGTAGACTCAATTCATGCTCTAGAACCCCTGATGCCACGAATTGAGCCTACACTGATGCCTGAAAATCTCCCCTCTTCACCACAGTAAGAGTGCCAAGTGTAATTGCTTGGCATATTGTAAATCTGGTTACTAGGGATACATATCAATAAAAAATACTTCCATTCGCAATTTTAATCAGAATGACTAGTATGTGAAAAGGAAAATTCTGAGAACAGGAAGTGGAATCTTCATTAAGATGTGTCCAAATCAGTGTCCATTTCCTAAGTTAAAGTGATTTTCTGTGAAAGTTCATATCAGCAGCTTAAAGGAATCTTATAAACAACATTTGTGATCAGCAGTCTAAAACAAGTGTTGTGGTTTTAGACCAAAATAGTTTTGTAAAAGATTAAAATTGTTAAGCACCTATCAAAAAAACTGGTTTTAATGGATGTTCAACTAAGCCTGTAGCTCTGTGGTTAGAGCACTCGCCTCGCAAGCGGGAGACCTGGGTTCGAATTCCGGCATGGCGAAATGATGGCAAGTTTCCTTACTCCACACACCTGTTTACCAAGCAGAAAGTAGGAACCTGGTTGTTAGTCGATTGGCGGATCGCTTTTCCAGGGGTAATAATTCTTTCAAAAAGTATTAAATTAGTTACTTCAATCCATAACTATTTGGGGGAGAGTTGTGCGCAATTGGCTGCCGTGTTTCGCCCACAAAATATACAGTCAATTCACGTTACAGTATATTCAGTGAAGTTCTTTGAGATGTCTCAACGACGTGATAAGCGTTATATCAAATTCAAAGATTATTAAACATCCTGATAAGACAGCTGCAAGGAAGGTCACATGAATCTTCAAACTAGGCAAAATCCGTGAAAAAAATTGGATATTTAAGATCAGTATATTTTAATCAGTTAGACGTTATCAAGGACCACTAGGTAAATTAATCTTGAAACACGTTGCCCTCGAGTTTATACAAAAATAGTACAGCAATACTGAAGAGGAACAAAATTGTCTGGAACACTGAACCTAAAATGGTAGAAGCTGATCCTGTGCATTTGGATTTCTCTCAACTAAAGAACTGCAGTGGCCCATATGTTACATGGACTTATAAATGAGATCCATCAAGATACAAGTCATCTACAACAACAACTCAAAAAAGTTCAAACTCCTTAACTTGCTCAGCCAAGTCAATATTATACAAGAAATGTAATCGTAAAAACAATAAGACTTGACAAAAAAATGAAAACATTAGCCACTCAGTACAAGACTGATTGGCTTGTGGAGTCCTATAGCTCAGTGGTTAGTGCACTCGCTTTGCAAACGCGACACCTGGGTTCAATTCCAGGCAGAGGGCAAAACCTTGGGCAAGTTTCCTTACTCCACACGCCTAATAATAATCCCTCCAAAAAACAAATAATAAATTGGCCATTTTCAATCCACGACTGTTTGTGGGACATTGCTGTGCGCAATTGGCTGCTGCGTTTCACCCACAAATATACAGTCAATTCACTTTACAGCATATTCTGTGAAGCGCTTTGAGATGTCTAGAAGACATGAAGAGCACTATATCAAATGCAAGGATTATTATTATAAAGGGTAAGATGGCAAATATAACAATGACATTGTTTGAAAATTAAAGTTCTCTTCACCATGTTACAGAGTATCAGCTTAGCTCAGTAGGTAGTACAGGTCAGAAGGTCAAGGCCTACATTCCCCAAATCAAATAGATTTTATTTGCTGGTCTCTATTGTACTCAGAAATACATCTTGGCATTTAACAAAGTTTGACAAGCATTTTCAATGAAGATTGGCTTATCTCACATAACTACTTCAAACAAATTGTTCTGCTCGAGTGGGAAAACAAAAACAATATCTGGCAAAGGTCGAAAATAGGTTACTTTCAGTAATTACACTTATAATACAATTTTTGTACTGAATAGGTCTTTAGCTTTTCTACGAGCAGAAATCTCAAGTTAGCACAACGCCACAACTGAAATAAACGGGTAACTACTTCCATGAAAACTAGTACAAATCTACCTGCTTAGACCCCCCCCCACACACACCCCCACAATCCACATCATCACCTTTCCCTTAATCTTCGCACAATAACACAACCTATTTTGACACGACCAGGAATATGAAACAAAGTCAGGGATACGTTCCAACATCCGAACTTCATCCCAACATCTAAACTTCGAAAGGATCTGAAACATGGTTTGCTGAAGTTATGGCCAGTGAGGTCTTTTGTGTGTGTGTGTGTGTGTGTGTGTGTGGGGGGGGTGCAAAACCCCAGCGCCGCGACTACAGCACGCGGTTGGATGAGGAGACGCGCTGGTTTCCCCCTCGGCTCCAGTGCACAGTACACACAGCAACGGCCCCCGCGCTGCCATGAGAGGACGGTCACCAGGGAGGGAGGGAGGGAGGGTTCATAAATACTTCACGGCTTTAATCCCCCTCATCCCTGTCCGACAGCCAAGCTCACGAACCGCACTGCGAGAGGCGAGCAGAGCAGACGGCCATTTTAAGGCTGGCGGGTGGGGGGGGGAGTGGCACAAGGTGTGAGTGTGTGACAGGACGCAACGCAAGTTGATCGTTTAACAAGATTCCTGTATACGTGTGTGTGTGTGTGTGTATATATATATATAAACACATATATAAAATCAGCATCGCCTTTCACTCCCCGCCAAAACAAAAATGGGGCGGCCTTCGACGAGATGCGACTGACCCGAGTCGAGAAGAGCGGGAGGTGGGAACTTCGAACTTTTAAAAACCCTCTTCGTTTTAAAGGAGCGATTTTATTTTAAGTTGCTGTTGCCTTGTCGTGAAGGGGAATAAATAAATCAATCAATCGATAAATAAATAAGTCAGACGGGTTGACGATGGACGCGCGCAACATCCAGAGGTTGTCCTGCCCGGGTTTATCTTCTCGATGTCCTCCGTCCCCCCTCTTAACGCTTATTACTAATTATTATTATGAAGATTAGAGTCGGTCGGGGACGGTAAAGAACGCGCTCAAAGGCGCCCTCGACCTGTTGGGGTTTGCAGCCGTCCGTCCTGCGTCACTGACACCACCTCACACCCCCCACCACCACACCCCAACTCCATTCTTCCTCTCTCCCCCCCTCTCTCTCCCCCTCTCTGGGGATTCACCGTCAAAGTCAAACATTATTTTTTTTGTGTGTAAAAAGGTGTGAAATACAAAAAGAACGAAAGGTGAGAAAGTAACGTCGAAAACACCACCACCACCACCATCAACAACAACACCCTCCTCCTCCTCCTCCCGCCGCCGCCATTTACCATTTCCGCCATTTTCTCCACAAGCCGTTGAGTGGGAGCCGATAAAAATCTGCTGGAAAGAGCGAGAGGGCGAGGCCCGCCCGACACGCGCTCTTATACCACCCGCCAGCGGAAGCGCCCATTTCACCAACAAAGAGGGTGCACGTGTGACTGCGCGACGGGTTGCAACATATGGCACATTCCCCCCGCCCCGCACTTCTCGACACGCGCTAACGGACTTCGCCAACCGCAGGGATTGCGACCCCAATCCACACCCCACCGGGATGGACGGCCTTCTCGCGCGCGCTTGTTTCCCCCCTCCCCCCCCTTCGTTCCTGCGCAGGTCAGGGTTTTGGCACAGTCCGCCCGCCCTCCACACGTTCGGAGGCTTCGAGGCGGCCACGTGATGCTCAAGGCTCGTTGGGCGGGTTCGCCACCGATTAGGCGGGTTTTTGTGGCGCTGCGCGTGAAATAACGGCTTTGGGCGGGTGCCTCGTTTCGATTGTTTTTAAACTTGAACCTACGAAAGGCGGTTTTTTTTTCTTTTTTTTTTAAAAAATTTAAAAAAAATAAACTTCCTTCGAAGACCTTCTCTCCCGCAGTTTCAAAAGCACTGACCTAAATTGGCCGCTCCGCTAAGCCAATGGGAGTCAACTGGTAACGTTGGGCTACTTTGGGGCGAGTGTGTGCTGGGGCTCTGGGCTACAAAGCTGTGTTAATTGCTGGCCACCCGATGGCGGTGGTGACGGTGGTGGTGGATCTCGAGTTGGTGGGGACAGAGCCGTGTTTGCTGAGCAAGGGAGCGGCCGCGGTGGTGGTGGTGGTCCTCCCAACGTGAAAGGCGCTCTATAAATGGAATCTTGTTGTTGTTGTTGTTGTGAGAGTCACAGAGATGGGGTGGAGTCAGGTCATGGAGATGATCTCCATTTCTCACTGGACTGGTGGAGGAGTTGTTGCCTTAACATTACATCCAAGGGACCTGTGTGCACCCTGACATTGCCCCCCACTGCACTGGAATATCAGCTGAGACCATGAGCTCAGTCCTCACATGGGCCCTTGTGACCCAAGTCAACAGTGTGTATTCTCAGTTTCTTGCGACTAGATCTCAGCAGGTCCTGTTTTAATTCAAGTTCCACTGACTCCCATCACCCGGTTTGCTGTTGGTGGAACCGACTCGAATCCGATCCATGTCTACTCACTGTAACGAACTCCCTTTGAATGTAAATTTGGCACTCGGAATTTGTTCGGTGCCGCCCCTACAAGTAACATTTTGTTGCAGCAAATGCTCGAGTACGTGACTCGTTGAGCTGATATAGCAGCAATAATCAATGTATCAAATGTAAGACTTCATAAGTGTTGTGATACCCTTGAATCTCCTATTCATGTAGTGGCAATATTGGAGACCTGGCTCAAACGAGGGTAGCATTGAGAGCTGAATATTTCTTGCTACAATGTATTCAGGAGGGATAGGGAAGGAAAAAAGGAGGTGTGGGGGGGGGGGGCGGGGTGGGTGGCAATATTGATTAAAGCCGCAGTTACGGCCCTGAAAATGGACAATGTGCTAGAGAGTCCAAAAACCGAATCTATTGGGTTAGAGTTAAGGAGCAGAAAAAGAGCTGTTACTCTTGTTAGTACACCACCAAATACTGGGAAGGTGATAGACGAGCAAATCTGTAAGCAGATTTCAGAAAGATGCAAACCAATAGAGTAGTGATAATGGGGGACTTCAATTATCCTAACATAGACTGACAAAATAACAGTGTAAAGGGCAAGGAGGGGGAAGGATTCCTGAAATGTGTGCAGGATAATTTTCTGGATTAGTATGTTTCCAGTCCAATGAGGAAGGAAGCAGTGCTGGGTCTAGTTCTAAAGAATGAAGTCGAGCAGTTTCAGTTGGACAGCATCTGGACAACAGTGATTGCAACATCATTAGGTTTAGCTTTATCGTACTACCATACCTAGTGGCCTGGTAGTGCGATAAGGCACTCGGGAAAGCCTCCGATCGCAGGCTCAGTAAGCTGATCAGGAATACCTGTCATCGTGTGTCCCTGACGCAGTCAAATTATCAGAGGATGGGAATTTGCACTCACGGAGTTAGGAGTTAATACTGAGGCCGCCTTGTACTCTTCGCGTTACTGACATTCGCAGGGTATATGGAGGGGTGAGAACCATCGCAGAGCAAAGAACACTTTTAGCAACTCATGTTGAGTGTGGATTCATAAAATCCAGCAAAGAAAAACAGGTATAACCTATCAGATGGTGTATATTTGTTGAAATTATCCTTCATGCCCTCAGCACACATTAACTTTTCATAGCAACAGCGGTCCCAATGATATTGGTTCAACATTGTAAAATCACATTTGGTCACTTTGCGGCATACAAGCTCTACATTTTGTCACTTTAATGTCCTGCAAGATCAAAAAAGCTCACAGTTACTACAACCAAATGTTACACTTAAAATCTAGAACAAGAAAGACATTGCACACTGTTTCCACTAACTTTTATAATTATAAGTATTCTAGATTGATTAATTAATATGTAGAGCCTCTTGTCAGAAGATGAAATGCATTTGGATAGTATTCTTGGTAAAGCATAATGCCTGTGAAAGAAATGGACTACATATTAGAAGTGTACGTGACAAATAAAGTGACTATGAAGTCCCCCATATAGTGTTGGGGATATTCCCCAACATACACTGGGAATACCATACGCTGAGCAATGTAATATGACTGCTTGCTGACTGTGTGCCAGGGAGCCCACAAAGGGCAGTTCTCTCCTTGACTTGGTTTTAGTTCGTGATCCAAGCACTATTCAACAGACGTAGTTGATCGACTGGATGACAATGATTACAGCTCAGTAACATTCAAATTGACTTGAGAAATGGCAACCAACCTCCAGTGTACAGCTTTAAAAAATGGGGCGAGGTATTAAGTTGGATGCCTCTGAGGTCTGAACTGGGATGCTTTCTGTTGTATACATTAATGATATGGATTTGCTGACTCAGTGTAAGGTAGTCAAACAACTGTTGATGGCACCAAGCTGGGTGAACTGTGCAATCAGAAACAGTCTTACAAAGAGAGCTTATTGGAGTATGGAAATGGACTGATGACTACCAAATGAAGTTCAATACAGATACGGATATATGAAGTAAGAGGAGGCACATGTACTTCATGGATGGTATAGAAATTGACAAAGTGAAGTTGAAAAAGTTCTAAGTTTGTTACCTTATCACTCCTCATATCAAAAGATCGCTGGACTGAGGGATGAGGATGTACACACGGTGCAGGCAGACGTACAAAGGATCGCAAGATCATTTTATTTTGACCTGTACTGTGAGAAGCCCACGGAGAGCATGGCCGCCCATGACTTTCTGTCGGCCATCACCGAGGGTTTGCATGAGAGGAGCCGGGGGCACCTGGAACGCTTGCTCTCCCTGAATGAGCTGAACAGGGCCGTCAATGCCCTCCAGACAAGTAAGACCCTCGGGTGGGGGCAACAGCCTCCCGATGGAGCTCTCCTCGTCTCTGTGGGACGTGATGGGCCCGGAACTGCTTGGAGCATACAATAGTATGCTGCTGGCAGGGAGCATAGCAAACTCCTTGAGAAAAAGCATGGTCACTCTCTTCTACAAGCAGAAGGAGGAAATGAAGAAATGGCGGCTGATTATGCTGCTCGTTGTAGATTATAAGATCTTGGCCGAGGCAATCTCCGAGTGGATCAAGACTGTGATCCACCCTAACCAAACCTGTATGGTTCTGGGCCGAGGAATCTCTGCTAGGATCGCACTACTCAGGGATACCATTGCCTATGCGCAGGAGAGAGCGATGGAGATGGACGCCTGCCTGATCAGTCTTAATCAGGAGAAAGCCTTCGACAGAGTATCGCATGACTACATGTTTGAGGTGCTTTCCAAAATGGGTTTTGAGGAGGCAATTTTGAACTGGATCCGGCTGCTCTACAGAGACATCTGTAGAGTAGTCACATTCATAGGCTGCAACTGAAGTACCTCATACAGTTCTGGTTGCCGCAACAAAAGATCACAAGATTTGGTCGGGATGAAGAAGGCCCTTCAGCCCATCCCATCTCATCCCTCCAGAGCACCCACCCTATTGTTCTCTCAACAGGGTAAGACAATGAAAAATTTCAGGCTTCAGATAACAGAACTTTATTTTGAAAGCACAAATAAACAGAAGCAATGCTGCAATCAATTTGCAGCTTTCAAAGCTCATCTGCAGAGCAGTACTTCATCATAGTTACAAAAAATCCTTGCAGAAGGGTGGAATCCAATTCACTTACTGATTATCACATTGCTCCAATATGACAGCAGAATGAAATGTTCAGGATAATATTGCCAATGCCACTGTCAGTTGGTGTATATCAAAGACAATTTAATGTATCAAACAGAAAATAGACATCACTTATTATTCCAGCCATCACTCAACTAAATTAAACATTCAGAAAATAATCAACTGGAGATATCCTATCTTAATCTCCATCATGTGCACAAGTCTTTTCATGAATGATGACAAAACCTTCAACGTAGAAATAATCTGCAGCCAAATTTTCTCAATATATCAGAAAGTTTGCTAACAATTCAACCCTACTTAATTTGTAAACTAAAGTACCTCCAAATATACTTAAAACAAACAAAAAAAAAACTTTGATCCCTCTAATTTCTCACACTACCGGCCCATTTGCAACCTACCCTTCCTTGTCAAAGTCCTGTAATGCATTATTGCAGGTCAATTTTGGTCACACTTCTCCTTCCACTATTTCCTTGAGCCCCTGCAGTCTGGTTTTCGCCGTCCCCACAGCTCAGACACAGCGTTTGTCAAAGTCACAAACAATGTCCTCTTTCTGTGACCAGGGCTCCCTCTGCCACCTCGTCCTCGTGGATCGCTCTGCTGCGTTTGACCACACCATCCTCATCCACCGCCTTTCCTCCCTCATCTGCCTTGGTGGGACGGCACTTGCATGGTTTGACTTCTACTTAACCAACTGCCTCCATTTCATCTTGGCAAATGGTTTCTCCTCCCGCCCCCACCTGGGTATCCCAGGGCTCCATCTTTGGCCCTCTTCTTTTCCTTATCTATATTCTCCCTCTGGGCAATATCATCCGCAAACATGGGGCAAACTTCCACATG